TCTGTATTGTCTGTATTGTGCTTGTGATATGTTATAAAATGTTGTATGTCTGTTAATGTTTCCCTCCTTTTATCTTTAAAATAAAAAAAAAAAAAAAAAAAAAGACTGTAGCTGCAGGCATCTCACTCCTGTGGTAAGGGGTTTCCTGGAGATAACATAGTTCTCCTAAATTAACATACTGTATTACTCAGAGAAGTCCCTGTAGGGAGTCCCAAGGCACTGCCAGGCAAGACAGATTCCCACCTTTCTTTAGTATTCCTGCCCTTGTTCCGATAACTAAATAAATACGGGCCACCCAGAGAAGTTTGAGGTCTTAGGCCCCAGAGAATCTCGAATTCTGTTAGAGGGTTTGGAACCTCTCAGAGCCCTAAAATCAAACCACTTGACTGCTTCATTTAAGCCTTTGCCATCCACTCATTTGGGAGGTTGCAGGCCTGATCAGTCTGCAATAACTAAGGGATACTATTAACCAGATAGTAAAGCACTTTGCACAGGTTTGTTTAATCTTCAGAACAGCACTGAGTTAGACCTGATCCCTGTTTTACAAAGTGGGAACCCTCAATCACACAACTGCAGAACGCAGTCTCTGGGACTTGCAAGGCCTTCTTTCTACTATACCATGCTAGAATCAGATTGCATATGCTTTGAGTCTTACAAACTAGAGAAAAGCAGTATTTAACCTTAGAACCCTTTGAATACAGGTTGATGGTACCTTCCACCAATGCTTTGGCCAATTCTGTGTGTGTGTGTGTGTGTGTGGTACCCAAGGACTTCACACTCAGCTACATCCCCAGCCCCTTATTTTCTTAAAACAGGGTCTTGCTGAGTTGCTAAGTTGCCCAGGCTGGGCTTGAACTTGCAGTCCTCCTGCTTCTGCCTCCTAGAGTGCTGGGCTGACAGGTGTGTGCCACCAAACCGGTTTGGCCAACTCTTTCACAGTGAATTCTCATGCATAAACAGGGTACTGGGTACTGTGGAAGCATGAAAGCTCCTGGGACTGGTGACTTCCAGGTGACGGAGCAAGCAGGTGAAGGTGGCCCCAGAGATAGACAAGCACGCATCTCATGGGAAGTGTGCATCCTTGCACTGTTTAAGGAAAACTCAGCAGTACCCAAAAGTGAAAATGAAAGTATGGACGGCTTATATCATTGTTTCTCCATTTAGAGAAATATCTCTTCCAGAATTTTGCGAGAGGCTTCAGTTTATGCATGACTTTTCATTAATCCGTAGTCAAGTTTCACAAGAGAGCAGAGACGTTCTGTTACAGGGATAATGTCACGAATGCTTTCTTGACCATGCTCACCACGGTATCTTTTCTTCTGAGCTATTACAGTGTTTAGTGCCAACAAGCTGAGTAGTTTCCGCCCTTTGGTTTGTTTTGTTTGGAGACAGAGTCTCACTATACAGTCCAGGCCGGGCTAGAACTCACAATCTTCCTGACTCAGCCTCTGCATGGCTGGGATTATAGGCATGTGCCACCTAACCTGGCCTCAGTGGCTTACGTTTTATGTGAATATCCTTATTTTTTGGACCTGTTCATATTTTGTCTTCCTTCGAGCTGTAAGCGCCCTGCTTAGAGATCACATTTCCCTAATCTTTGTTTCTTCCACAGCACGTCCCGAGCCCCCTTAACAGGGTAGGTACTATTTGATGAGTGATGAAGACATAGATATTATGTGAGAAGTTGCAGCAGAGGCAAGCAAAGAGGCTAAGCTAGAGAGACAGAGCATCCAGGGTAAACAGGAGGGGTAACGTTTTCGCTTCCAAACTTCCAACCTCCAAAGACTGACCCGGAAATAAACGGGAGTGTGAGCTCTGACTCCTAGGCTCTCCCATCTTCTGAACTCCAGTAACCTGTCTTCTTCCGGGATGGCTGCCCTCAGCTTAGGCTCTATGGCCAGCTACTGAGACTCCCCCTTCCACATACCTCCTTCCTCCAAGGCTGGGGAGAAGCCAGAGCCCAGATAGGGGGCCAGAAGCTTCAGAAGTGTGGAGAACAGGAGAGGGGTCTGCTCACTATCCTGAAAACAGCAGAAGTGCCATGTCTACACATGGTGGAGCCACAAAGCGACAGTTTTGTCTAAAAGCCGTTTTCCAGGCCACACCCTCCTCAGAAGCTCATTGTTCTCCACCGGCTGATGATGCTTCTGATTGGCTGGGACCCCTCCCCCGCCAGGCTGGGGGCCGCTGTGCCCCAAGGGCTGGCCTAGCTTCCAGACTTTTGCCTGGGAATGAGGTGAGTGGACTGACGTGAGCCCAAAGTTGTTGATGTGACTCTCCCTGACCATGTGGAGGGTGACTCCAATTAGGCAACAGCTGATAGGTGACTACTGAAAACGCAAGTAGCTTCTGAACAAGCAGCCTCTCTGCCAACCCCTTGTGTGGCTTTGCTTTTTAATGATGCAAGACACTGTGGTCAACCACAGCCTGAAAATATCAATGGAAAACTACAGAAATAAACGTAATTTTGTAAAACACAATGATTTCTTAGTTACAGTTTGTTGTAAGACGTGAGGACATCTCATGTGGCTGTAATCTGTTCTCTTTGGGACACAAATTGTCCCTCTGGCCAGTGTACCTTCCTGTATGTACCACCTGCTCCACAGGAGGTGAGAGAGCACATACACAGGACACTTGCGACAGTACTGTGCTGTTGTAATCATTCTATTTTATTAACTCAGTAGTACTTAGTTTCAGAGTTTTATTGTAAGCTTTTTTTTGGGAGGGGAATTATATACCTGTCCTATCTGAATAATCAAGGACAAAATTCTAACCAAATTTACTCCAATTATAATTTCAAATCCAATGTGGCACTGGATTTGAGTCTTATTAATCCAGTGTGACACTGCAAGAATGTTTTAGCAGGCAGGTATGTTTCCTAACAGCTTAAATCATATTTTGATTATCTCACTGCTCTTATGTGTATCCCAACAATTCACATTTAGGGGCACATATTTAAAACTTGAATAATGTTCAGTTCGAAAATGTTCTCAAATTAAGTGCAGCCTTATACGGTAATTAAACTATAAAATAGTTGTTTCAAGGGAGAAGAGAGGTTCACCTAGTTTTTGCTGACGTAATTTATAAGTGAACAGACGCCTTAGGCAGAGAATCTCAGTAAACGCCAGTGCTGTGTTACATAAACCAGCACAAGTGCTGGCTTCGGCAGCACATATACTGAACAAGCACCAGTAGGGACCTTTGCCTTAGAGAGAACTTACAACTTTGAGGTTAACCCTTGTTAATGTTCAACCTTTCACCATCATTTTAACCACATGCAATCTGTTTAATATGGGGAAATGGCAGCATTGATGTACCTTGGATCAGTATTTCTTGGAAATGAATGCTGAATTACAAAAGACTGGGTTAAAGGTATATTGTTTTGGAGCTAAAACAAAACTTCCTTAGTCTAAATGAGTGCTTTCAATCTATTTTAAATTTAACATTTTCTGAACCTTTAGTTAACACTAGCACAAACCAGGGATTGTGCTAAAACATTATTTCCACCTTGGCAGCAGTCCTAAGAAGTCAGTGCTATTATTCCTGCTTTCCTCTTGAAAATAGGTCTCACAAACAGAGATTTACAGAATCTGAGTTAGCAAATGGCTGAGCTGAAACCCAGGCCTGTCCAACCTGGCGCTGAGAACATTTACTTAATGAAGCCATCCACAGGACTTGTTAGAAAACTGTGGCATGCAACTGAACTCAACACCGCTGAGCTAGCGATTCATAACCCTCAGGAAAACATATTTATGGAGTTTAGTATCTATGATGATAGTCAGATTTCCAGCACATAAAGTCTGAGTTTTTTAGCATAGCTATAAAGCTAATCACTAGACTATGAGCTCCAGGTGGTAATGAGGGTTCTTACAGGATGTAAATTAGTCATTTAAGTCTTAAGAGTCAGTATTTGGGTAGAAAGGAAACACATGATAGTGGTTTGTCAGTGAAACTGAGAACATACAGCAGTGATGGGGAACATTTTAATGACACAAACAGCCACTACCCCGGCCTAGAGGATTTCTTCTGGTGACATCTTACAGCTGTAGTTAATCTGACCCACAAGTGGGGTTTAGGAGACCTCCCACAGGAAGGAGCAGGTTTCTATGACAACTGAAACTGACTCACATACACACTTTCGGAGTTTTTGTGTCTATGCCATGTTTCATGTTTTCCTTAAATACTTAACCTTGAGAACACGTGTGCACTCATGACAAACACGAATTGAACAGCATGGTGTATGAAGAGAAGGCATCATTTCCCTCTTTAGAACCACTTCGTTTTTGCCTAGGTCAAGTTCTCTAAGCCTTTCTCCTCAAAGATACACCATGATGAAGGGACAAATGATAAACCACAGGATTTCTTGTTGCTTATTGCCAAATCTTCACCTGTTATGCTCCTGAGAAAGCTCCTTGGTGGATGTGTAGCTCAGTGGTAAGGATATGTGCAAGGAAGGTCCTGGGTTTGATCCCCAGCCCCCAACAACCAAGTTATGTCTCTTATTTCATGTTTAAAATAACTTGCTCTGTTGATTCATCTGATTATAGTTCTAATGAAGATGTGCTTTCCTAGCACTTCAAACGAACCACTGATTATGTCTAGGATGGAGTAATCTAGACCCAGTCTCTCCTCACAATGGGGACAAAGGCCATAACCACTTATAGAAAGCCTGCTTAGGTCCCAAGTACTTTGCTAGGAATTTAACTTGATCAAAATCATAGCTTATAAATTCAAATTCAGGTCTGTTTTACTCAGAGCATTTTCCACTACATTGTATTAGTTACTCAATGTAATTAAAAAACTTAACTACTGCTCATCCTAGACCAAAATCAGCTGTAATCAACTGGAAGCAGTGGTACTTGCCTGAAATTCCAGCACCTGGGAGGCTAAGGCAGAAGGATCGAAGGTTTGAGGCCAGCCTGGGCCACCTAGGAACTTCAAAGCTGGCCTAGTGTACACAGAGACATCTCAAAAAAAGAAATCTGTAGCTATAAAAAGCATTTCATACTACGCAAACAAGCGAACAGAAAGAGAAAAGAAAAATAAAGTCTTCATAGCAAGTTAAAATGTTTTAAAATAGCTTGAGGTAGCTGGCACATGCCCGTAATCCCAACTACTGAGGAGGATGAGGTAGGAGGATCACTAGTCTGCAGCCAGCCTGGGCAACTTAGCTGGACTCTGTCTCAAACCAAAAAACTAAATATAAAAAAATAAGAAAGAGCTGAAGATACAGCTCAGCACTCCCTGCGTTTAATCCCCAGTACAGCAAGACCAAAAAGTTTGAGGTCATTTTGTTAGTTATTCCACTATTTCTTACTATTCCTATCTCTCCTTCAGCAATATCTCCTTCCACTTAGAGCTTTTTGACTATCCAACAGTAAAGTCTTGCACTCTGTTCAGACTGTTTGTGCTTTTATGTGCACGTTTGCCAACTAAAACAGGAGGCTGGTGTACATATGACCAATGGTGGTTTATTATGGACAAATGGTAGAAAAATATGTCACTAATATCCACAGATAAGTACCTTAAGTCACATGTAAAGCAAGACTTATTAAAAGTTCACTTTATTTTTTTGTGGAACCAAGCACTAGTGACCGATTACAGCCAGACTGTTTCTGCGCGTGCCTTCCAAATGTTAGCCCAGTTAGAATCGCCTTATCGGTAATCAGGTAATGACCCAGGTGTCCCAGTGGTTGTGTCCACAGTTTAGACTGTTCAGGCGATCAGGAACACTCAATTGATCGCTTTAGCTTTTAGTTCTTGGTTATATCTATAAAGAAAACAGAAAGAGAAATAAATAACCATCAGTAATCATAAATAAATTTATGGCAAGGAGAGAATGGGAAACATTCCATTTCTTCTTTCCTAGTTGTCGAGTGGCTGTAGAGTTGTAAGTACAATCTTCCCAGGAGCTTGGCAACAGCAACAGCAGAAGGGGACGTGGCCCAAAGTGTTTATCTGCATGGGTCTATGTTCAGATAGTGAGATCCCAACTATCAAAAAGTTTTAACAGCCTCTCTGACATAACCATTTCCTGTGTAAAAGTACTGTCTTCAGGTACATTTTCATTGTTCAACTATACAAGAATATGACCAATGTGAACATGTACAAAATTTTAGGAACATGTGGTCAACTAGAATTACTCACTTTACACCCACAAAGCATCTAAGAATAAAATCAATTGGGAACAGGCGCCTGTTTAACCAGAGAAGTAATCATAGTTAAAAAATAGATCAACAAGTTATAAAGCCTTAAATTTGTTGAAGCCTGATGCTCACCAATGTAGAGATGAAGTAAGTATAAAGCCATAGAATCTTTCCTCTTAACAGCACTCTGAACTGAGCTTCCTGTTCTTCCTAGTTTTCAAGTGAGTGTACAACAGTTTATGGCAAGGAGGAAGTTTTTCTGCAAAGGATACCCTACTGCCTACATGTCTTAAAAGATTCTGATTTCTCTCTGTCTGTCTGTCTCTCTCTGTTACTGGGGGTTGAATGTGGGGCTTCTCTACCACTGAATTGTATCTATAGCCTTTTTAGTTTTTGAGACAGGATCTTGTTAATTTGCCTAGACTGGACTGGAACTTGTGATGCTCCTGCCTCGGCCTTTCAAGTACCTGGGATTATAGGAGTGCACCACCATGCCCAGCTAAGAGATCTTGATTTCTAATATTTGATCACATTACTCTTACTGAGTACATATTTTAAGAAATTTCTAGTACTCATGGAACACTTTTCAATGAAACCAGTGACCTTGCTCTAAATTATTTCCAATACTATATAACTGTACTTTCAAGTCTCATTTTATTATACATAGCTGAAAGTGAATGATAAAAGGTTTATTTGGAAATTACTTCATAAATCTTATTTTATTTTTTGTAATGGGGATTGAACCCAGGGTCTTCTGCTTGCTAGGCAAATATACTACCACTGAGCTATGTCTCCAGCCCATTCTTATTTTCATTTTAAAAGTTTTACTTTGAGACAAGGCCTTGCTAAGTTGCCCAGGCTGGCCTTGAACTCTCAATCCTCTTGCCTCAAGCTCCTGAGTAGGTGGGATTACAGAAGTGCTCTGCTGTGCCCAGCTTTTTGTGTTGTCTTAATAAAAGGAACTATGT